TTTTTATAGCAGCCATAATCCCTGCTGCTCACACCGTCTATGCCCTCCTGCCCTGAGGCCTGGGGCTGAGCCTCCGAAACAGGGGCTGCTACCCAAAAACTGTCTCAAACCCCTTCGGTTCCCAGCACTGCCTCTCTCCTAGTGTACAGATCCCAGCTGGGGCTGGTTCTCAGCTCAAAATCCCTTTGTAGAAGTCACTGGAGGGCCACGAGTATTGCACCCCCCTCCCAGTCACAGCACTCTGTTGGGAAGGGACAGACAGACGGACATACAGAGACACATGGATGAGCACCGGAGCAACTGCCTGGCCCTCCCGCTCTGCTCTCAGAGTTGCGGAGTTGGAACCAACCCCACAGAAGAGCCATGAAAAAGTCCCCAGGAGCAGGAGGAGCCAGGGGAGGCTGGGGGTTTCTTTCCTTTCTAATCCCCCCCACCTTTAACAAGAGGGAAACTGAGGCAGGGAGGGAGTGGGGAAGGGGCAGAGCGCTGCTGGCCCCGCAGCTCAGGAGCAGAGCCCTTTGCAGGGCAGCCAATGAGCTTTAAAGGCTGACAAAGCTCCACGCCTGGATGTAACCCCCAAGACATGAGCTTTGTGTTTTATTGGGGTGGTTTTGGTGCTGGGGTGGCTGGTTTCCCTTACCCAGGCTGCACCCGCAAAGCTGGGGATGGCATTTGGCCGTCCAGGCTTCATCCCTGGGGACGGAGGGGGCTGCGGAGAAGGGATGTGAAATGGGGCAGCGGGAGGTGTGATGGGGCAGGAGTGGGTGCCTGGGAGAGGCATATTCCACCTCCTGTCCCTGTCGGTGGCCAGCGCTCCCCCCCCCCAGGACCACGGCCATCCATGGAGGACAGCAAGTGCTGCTGCTGCTTTGCTCCCATTTGGAGACATCCCCCTCTGGTCCTGCTCCCCATCCTTCTCCACTGGTGTCCTCAATGGGGACGTATCCTGACATCCCCCTGAGAGGTGGCCGTGCAGCAGGGGGCCATCAGCCCTGGCTGGGCAGCATCCCTGCCCTCCCCTGCCAGCCTCTGCTGCCCTCCCGGCTGCTGCGCGATTTCTCCCTTAAGCAGCTCAGCTTTTATGTCTCTCCAGCCAAAAGCCCCTGACTCTGCACCCTGCCAGGGGGAACCCAGCACGACTTTTAACCTTTTACTGTTTCTGTTTTACTGTCAGCAGCAGATGCAATTTTCTCCAGCCCCCGGGACCAGGGGGTCTCGCAGGAGAGGGCAGCACAGGAAATCCTGCCTAAAACTGTTCAGACCCTGCCTGCACTGCTTTCCCCCTGCTGCAGGTCTGGCCCCTGTCTCCCACAGCCTTTTTGCAACACATTTGCTGTAATTTTCCCTTTAAACACACCATGGGGAAAAAAAAACAAACAGGGGGGTTCTTCTAGGTCAGGCTGCGCTAAGACAGTGAAAGCAGATTAATTTCTCAGAAGAGCAATTCAGATTTTTCTTCCCCTGCCCACCGGGGACCAAAGCAGGGCTGGTGGGCAGGAGGCGGCAGCAGGAGCACACACGTCTGCTGGGCACACGCGGCTTTTGGTGTCACCCCTGGGGTGGCATTGAGTGGGAGCATCCCCAGGTCCCAGACCTGTGTGGGAGGTGGGGGGATACTCTTGCCAAGTGATGGGGCACGCAAGTGGGAAGGAGAAGGTTGCACAGCTGGGACCCTGATGGGCCAGGGTAGGTGCCTGCCACCCAGGGAGGAGGAAGAGGAGAGCTGTGCCACCGCTGCCTCTCGGCACCCAGCATCCCCGAGCCCAAGCCCATCCTCGTCATCCACCCACGCTCATGTGCCCACGAGGCCCAGAGCAGTCACATTTGTTTTTCACTCCCAAGGAGTGCCAGGAAGCTCTAAAGCCAGAGGATTAGTCTCCAAAGCAAAGGCCTGGCCCGCTGCCAGCCGAGGCAGAGAACAGCCCGGGGAGGCCTTTCCCAAAGGCTCAGCTTGCTCCTGGCTCGCGCTCCAGCTTTGTCTCCGTGTTCACCAGCCTCCTGGTCACTCAGCCACTGACACCAAGAGCAGACTCAGCGGGGAGCTCAGGGGTGTCCCACAGAGGGGAGGAGGCAGAAGGTGACGATGAGACTCCTGCTTGGTGCCTGAGCTGCCCTGGGCAGTTGGAGCGTCCCCTGCCCAGTGTGGCTTCTCCGGTGTGTAATAGAGGTTGAGTGCACGCTACAACCCCTTTCCTTAGAAGATGGTCACTGGGTGACATCTTTCCCTTCTCCTCAGCTGCCTCTGCACAAAAACTGTAGGAGGTCCCTGCCTTGGAGACCTGTAACTCTGGGACAGTGGGAGGGAAAAGCTGGAAACCCAGGACAAAAGAACCCTCCGCTGGGCTGGTTTAACCCCATACTGGGTGGTCCTGGGCAGGGCGTGGGGAGCGGGCTGGGTGGGAGGTGCTGGCCGGAGGAGAGACGGATGATGGGGCCAGGCTGGGTGCCAGATCCCCCAGGAGCGGGACTGAATGCCGTCCTGAATTGGAGGTGGTTTTGGCATCACGAGGCTCTCCTTGTGAATTACCACTTTGCTCTGCCCGGCACTAACACTTCAGCCTTTCCCAGGAAACCATCCCTGCTGCCAAAACACCGTGGGGCTGAGAGCAGGCTTGGGGGCATGACCACTCCTTCCTGCCCCATCTGTTGGCCTCTCCTGCCCCACGCTGCCTGCAACAGATCAGGCAGCGCAAGCCCAGGGCTCTGCTCGCAGCACTGCTCCCCAGCAAGGCTTACAGAGAACCTTGGGGTGCACCAGCCCGCTGCTCCCCCAGGGGCTGGGGTGGACCGGGGGACACCCCCACTGCCACTGGTGTCACCAGGTCACTTCATCACACCACTCTGGCTGAAAACCTCTCTAGGGGTTTGATTTTCAGGCAGGTCACCCTGCAAAGCAGCCCATGCTCATCTTGGGGGAACCAGCAGGCAGGACGCCATCAGCTGCGGGTTAGACTTGCTTCACCTGGACCTTTTTTAACTCTTCATCTGTGAGCAGTGGGGGCCGTGGCAGGGAGGTCTGAGACAAGCCTTGAGACAAGCCAGTGCTTGTGCATGGCCCAAAGGGTGCATTTTAGAGCAGCCTCAAGCAGCCCTAATACACAGAGTTTTCCTCCCAGCACCTGATCCCTGAGCAACGCACAGGGAACGGTACAAGGGACAAGAGGGAGCATCCCCCCCGCAGCCCCAAGGAGGGTGGGGGTGCCAGGATCCGGCCCCACAGGCTGCGCTGGCATCCACACATCCCCTGCACCTGCTCCCCGGGACACCCCACGGCGACACACCCCATGCCAGCAAGCCCACAGGGTTGTGTGGTGCCATGGGGCTGCCAGACCAAAGGCCACAGTGGTTGGCAGAGGGGCTGGATGCCACCTCCCCTCCAACCGTGGGGACCAGGTTCTTCCCCTGCTGGGAAAAGGTTATTTTCACGCTGCCTCCCCCCAGGAACAAACATAAATTGCTTAAATGGCTGCAGCGCTCAGGGGACAGGCCCTTTCGGAGCCAAGCTGCACGCAGGGAGGGGAAAGCCCAGGGGACTTCTTAATAACTAGCAAGGGGAGCTATTAAAGTGTTTTACTGCCTTGTTAAGACAGTCTAATCTCTGTGTATATCTTAAAAAAAAAAATTGGCTTGCTGGTGTTTTTATTGTAACAGAGGTGGGTGTTTTCTGGCACCGGCTGAGATCCTGCCTGCTTTATCTGCCTGTTTTCTTACCTGATACTGGCACTGAACAGCCCAAGAACAGCCCAAGGGCAGCAGCAGGCAGGGCCAGGCAGACCACTCCTCCCTGGGCAGCGGCGAGGAGAGAGGCTGTAGATCTGTACTGCGGGCTGTTTCCCACCCATGGGTGCTCTGCACCCCATTGCTGCACCCACCTTACAGCAAGACAGCGATCCCTAGGGTGTTTCCCCAGGGCAGGTTTGGGACACGTTGGGTCTGCATGTGCCTGGGCAAAGCCCGGAGGTGGGTGACCCCGCGTCCAGGCAGCCCAGAGACGGGGCAGGGGATGGCAGGAAAACTGTGAGAAGGTCTCATCCACATCTGCAGCTCCAAGGGCTGGGATGTGGGGGATACACAGATTTTGGGGCTATGGGCAACTTAGACGCCTGTAAACTAGGCTGAAAAGTCCATGCCCAGGGGAGGCCCAGCAAAGGCTCATCCACAGCAAAACAGAGCCGTCCAACCACCGGGGTCTAGGTTTGGAAGAGGAATGGGCTGGGCATGTTGTTTCTAAGGTTTTCTTCACTTTATTTTATTTTTTACCTCAGCCCAGCAGAAAATGGGGAAATCCTGCCGAGTCCTGCTGGCTCCAGCAGCCACCTCTCCATCTGCAAAAGCTCATGGTTTCAAAGCCAGGAGCCGGAACGGATGCTGAGGCCGGGATGGCAGGGCTGGATAAGCGGCTTGCATTTGCTTTGGAAAAGCTGATGTTTGCATGAGCACCGGCTCCAGTGGTTTTAAAGGGACCCACCCAGGAGCAAAATCCCAACAGCCTGAAATCAGAGCTGTGGCTGCTCCCGCCCCAGGCTGGGCTGGAGAAGTCTCTGCCCTACACCCAGACCCCCCCTGCACGTCCTGAGTGGAGCAGGGAGAACAAGGGAAGCAAACGGAGACCCCACCACAGCTAACGGGGCTGGCAAACACCTAGAAAGGTCTTCCCTGGAAATTTGGGCAGGAAGGGCGAAGCTGCCATCTGCAGCTGGAGACATAGATCAGCCGAGCTCAATATGCCCCATCTCCCAGAGATCCAGTCTCACTAGCATCCTCACCCCCAGCAGATGTGCTCAGGTACCTGGCTGCTTCAGGAAGCGTGACTTTTAGGTGTCACAACCCTGATGTGGCAAGGGACAGATCCCCAACACGTGGTCTGTGCCTGTTTCAGGACTGGGGGCTAAACCTGCAGAGCCGCCGGCAGCTCCAGGGCATTTCAGACCGGAGCCTCTCCCCTTCCCCTAGAAATCCCCATAAGCTCGGCAAAGCACTGACAGCATGGTCTGGGAGAAACGCTACCATTTATTAAGCCAGCTATTTTTTGTCAAGAACGATTTTAACAGCGCTGGAGGACTTACCCCGTCTCCCCCAGGGACCCTCAGCTGATTCATTGCATGCAGGGCTAGAAGGAAAGCGGGGGACAGCTGGCCTTGGGGGACATGGTGGCCCAGCGGCAGTGGCGGAGCTACACAGGGAGCCACGAGCTGCTTGCAGGTGACAGCAAGCCAAGCACGGCTGCTCTGGGGCAGGCAGATGGGATGCTCACGTAGGGCAGCCTGGTCCCAGTTTGCTGGGATTCCCCCAAGTCCTTGGCAGGTGCCGTCTCCAGGAATTTTGGACGTTGTCCTGCTCTCCATGTCCATCCAGGGAAGCCCTGAGGATCTGCACGGGAGGGGAGGGTGCTCGGGGGTCTCGACACGGAGGGTAGTTTCCACTGAAGGTGCTGCTTCAGAGACACAAAGCTGAACCTGTTGTGCACCCAACCACCTTCCTAACCACGGCCAGCTAACATCTCGCATCTAGAAAGAGTCACAACTAGTTCTTCCCTCTCTCTTGGCTTCCCACTGACATCAGGGTATGTTGTTCCCACTCCCAGCACCCCAGCAAGGAAAGAGCCAGGCTGTGACCCACGCAGGCAGGGGAACAACAGCACCACGGTGAAAACAAAGCCATCACAGCACTCAGCCAGGGACAGACGTACCCATGGGTTGTGAAGCCAGGACCCTCCAGGCTTGTCCACGCACATGGAAGAGCCCCTCTCCTTGAAGCAGGGGGCTGTGGGATGCCCAGATCCTTCCCTGCATCGTCTGGTGAAGGGAACAGGTCCTGCCCAAGCTCGCACACAGCTGCAGCTGCAAGCCATGCTCTACAAGCCAGAAGGGGCGAGGGAGGTGCTGGGAGGCATGGTGGGTGGACAGTAAAAGGCACAGGCAGAAGCCAAGGCTAAAAGGACAGAGGAGATGTCTCCAGGGCAGGGTCGCTGCAAATGCACCCCGGCAGAGAAGCCTCATGTTTCTGGTTGCTGGTAGGTGGCAGAGACCTGGCACCATTCATCACACAGATGGAGAATCCCAGCCATCACCCCCATCACGCTGTGTCAGGGGAAAGCACGAGCCTTTCTGCATCTGAGCCCCACAGGCTCTGCCAGGCTGCCCATACGCTGCCACGTCCCAGGGTTTCTGCAGGACCTGATCCCAAGGTGGGAGACAGTCCAGAAACAAACTGGGAGAACTGGATCTCCATCTCCCACCCAGTGTTTTGCCCTTCTCGTGTAACCACATCGGGAAGGGAAGTCTGCACCATCATCCTTCCTCCACAGGGCACGGACGAAGGCTCCCCAGCCCAACAGGAGCAGCTACAGTGACCATCCTGATCACGCTCCAGATCATCTTCACAGAGGCGTTTAAACCAGGCAGGGCTTCACCCGCCGGGAGGGGGGTTTTAGCATCCACCACATGCTGCAGCCAAACCCCAGGTGCCCCAGGTCAGCTCTACCCTGGATAGACACTGGCCTTGAAGACGATGATGGAAATGAGGACATCCAACAGGGATGCCCTGCTGACGGTCCTGTCCCGCACCTCACACCGAGCATGCTGGTGCCACCGAGCTGCGGATGCATGGGAGCATCTCCTGTCCTCTCTGGGAAGCCAGTTTGGGGGAAGGATCCCCAGTTTTTGCAGATGGGAAGCTGAGGATTAGAGGGCAGAGGTGGAGCCAGGGAGAGGTCCCAGGAGTCCCACTGTCCCAGGTTTCCCCATCAACCTTCCCCCGCCACCAACATCAAGGGCAACAGAGCAATGACCAGACACCTGAAAGCACCAACCCAGAGCAAAGGATTAAATTTACGGGGACCCACCTCATCCCGCCTCTCCCAGAAATTCACTGTGGGGTGGGCACCCCATCCCTTAGGGCTGCATCACCAAACACTGATGGGGGGATCAGAGGAACAGTGCAACACCACCAAGCAAGCCTGTCCCCTCCTCTCCAGCCACCCCAACTCTCCCAAGCAGAGACAAGTGAAGCAGAGCGGGCAGTTGGGAGAGCTGGACTGGGAAGGCAAAGCCACGGGCTACAAGAACGTCACATCATCCTGAGACTGGAGCCAGCGCCAGTGGGCATCGTACTCCAGGTGCAGTTTGCTGTTGAGTTTGCAGTTCTCAAAGTCAGCCTCGGCTTTCTGAGCCTTCCCACCCAGGTTCCCCTTCCCCAGCCTCTCCCCAGCCTCCGACGGCAATTTGGTGTCTCTGCCTGGTTCCAGAGAGGAGGGCTGCTGGCCCAAATACCCATTGGCCACCTGGGGCTCCTTAGCAAACCGGTGATCCTGGGGCAGCCCGGGCGGGGAGAGGTCCACGTGGGGCCACTCGTGCTCCGCTTTGCCCTTCTCTTGCTTTGCAAGACCCCTCTCAGGGTTGATCCTGACCCAATCCTGCTCCGTCCTCACCAGGGCTCTGCCCGGCGCAGATGCAGCAGCGGTTTCGGCAGCGTTTTGGGAATACTCATCCATGTCATCGGCCAACGTGTCCAGGTAGCTACCAACAGAGATGCTGTCCAGCCTGTCATTGGGGTCCTGCAGGCTGTCCCAGCTGCCCCGCCGCGAGGCCGCCTGGCTCTCCACCAGGCTGTACTGGCTGGGGGGCGGGGGGGCCGGCGCGGCCGGGGGCGGGCGGCG